GGAAACCGCAGCTCAACAACTCTGTGACAACACCACCAAGACAATGCGCAACCTGTCGACTGCCTTGCGGCCAAACAACGTATTCACCGACTCAACCACGCAGTCAACAACAACCAAGCACAAGGGTCAGGTGTTGTCTGGAGCTTTAGCGGTAGCTCCGCTACCAATGTGATTGACACAAAGGTAGCAACAAAAGATCCTCCTTCCCTCGCACAGCCGCGTGCGTTTTCCACTCACAGCTCACCTGAAGGTTGGTACGAACGGTCGGGCGCCTCGCCCTGCAGCGTCCTCACTGCTTCTATGGCTCAGGTCACGGGTGACCCACCCTACACCACCCTTGCGGCCTCGCACACTCGTGGCTTCGGACGTGAACACACCTGAGTGGGTCAAGACTGGTTCCTCAGTGACCGAAAGGTTCGAAATTCACAATATATATGTACATACATATATATATTATATGTAATAATAATGCAATACTATATTACAATATATTCCCTTGTATTATATTATATACACAGATGGACTTGGGGACGAGGTATCAACTGGCTCCTAGATCTTGCTTAGACCAGGGGGTTACATGCGTGTTTGTGTTCAATTCTTGAAAGAACGGCGTTCTCCAAAAACTGAGGAAATGCTAATGGAGGCCCAATCTGAGTCTTTTGACACTTTGCTCAAGTATAGAGACAGTGACTGTGACGATGGAAGAATGAATGTGCCTGTACCTCACCGCTCACCGAACGATGTGTTCTGCTAACCCAACCATTTCTTTGGTCTAAGGACGCCAATGCAGTCCTTTCCATCATCATGTTGGTGGTCTTCGTCTTGGGTCTCACTTTGCTGGACCGGGGATTGTCCGGTGCGATGAGGCCAATGTCGGAAGGTACAAAGGTCCTTTGAAGTGTGTTGTTTCTTTGGCGGTGACATGTGATCCGATTTTCCGTTTTTGCTGTTTGAGAGTCCGTGCAGTTCAATTGATTTTGCATTGTTTGCAATTTATATAAGTTCCGCGATTGAGCAAGAGGTTTGAACATACTGAAGTACTCGTAGCTGTTGGAACAAGGACAAAGACACAGCCCAACCCCAACAGTCATAGGAACGTAGATCCAACACATGAGAGCCACAGCACATGTGATCCAGCTCCCCTAGCTCCCCTGGCTCCCCTTTTTGCCTGCCCAGACACGGCCCTGCACATGTGACTCGGTGGCTGTAGATGTGAGGACATGGTGGTTTTAGCCGTCGCATGCTTTCAGCTGCTCTTCCGCCAGACCAACTCCGAGGAACCGTGAAGAACGATCCGGTCCCGTCGGAGACGTGCGGTCGTTGCGGTCGATTCGGTGAGGAACGTGAAGCGCTACATGTCAGGAGGAAATCTCTTGTCATGGCTGCGATTTCGCATGGTGCTTTGGTGATCATGGTCAGTTGGGTCGTTGGTCTCCAAGTCTCTAAGTGTTCGTTGATGTTCGTTGTGTCAGCCTGGAGACCAGGACAACCGCTGCAACCTCATCACCTTGGCAAAGCATTTGAAAAAGCTTGCCATGCTTGACGTTCTGATTCTTGGAATCATCGTGGTGGTCCTCAGCGGATCGGTCTACAAAAAGCAAGGTGCCTTGGCCGCGGCCGCCGGCCGCAGCGGGCCGCGGGTACCAGCCGCAGGGCTTGGTCTGGGCGCGGTGGCAGTTATGACTCCGGTTGAACTCAGGGCTTGGTCACAGCATGTTATGCAGCTTTGTTAGTGCTTGCCGCAGAAGTTGGAAAACTTTGTGCTTCATTCCTGTTGCACCTGCCTGTTTCGATTCGGGCAGAAAGTTCAGAGAGTAAAATGAGAGATTATGAGAGCATGAGACTTAAGAAGCCTGTCAAGCCATCTTGGCACATTTTTGGTGGTGAAAGAATTCCTTAACTCCCTTTGATTTGGTGCTCATTTTGACTTGTTCTTCTTTCTCTCGCGATTCTTTGCTAGAGCTAAACGATCCTAAAAGTCTTAAGAATGCCCTGCTGCGTGTTCGTACTTTGACAATCTTACACATATGGGTGCTCTGTCAAGGAGTTTGCAGGCAGAGATAGGAAGAGATCACCCGACGATTTGGGAAACCTTGGAGGGAGACGTCACTTACGACGGACCCAGGCACTCATGTCCCTCAATCCTCAGCATTTCTGCTGCCTGACCAGTTTTGCTTTTGGTTTCCCTTACTGTGCACTTAGGTTTAGTATTGTCTCCTGGCTGGGGCCTTCTAGCTCTTGCCGGAGCCGAATGTATGCACTACGTGGCCTATGGGTTGGTGCGCAGCTTTGTTTCTTCAAAGGCGCAGCGGCGCAGTGGTGCCTGGAAACACAACGAGAGTGCAAACATGTGCAACGGAAAATGTGGTGATTTAATATGTTGAGACTCGCAAGCATGCAACAAATACAGCAACAAGAACGGGAGCAGAGAATCAACATGATCAAGACCCGTGTACTTCTGAATGCATCATGTCAATGTATGTCAACGGACGTCCAATGGGTGCAATGAGTTGGTGTCACGCCTAACCACAAACAATCAGTTCGAACAGACCACAATCCTTGCTTAGCTTATTTGAAAAGACATCTTATTTTCTGTCCTCAAAAGGCATATCTCCTGAATGCAGGTGTAGAGAAACACGCCTTCGCACAAGAGTGAGCGAATCTTGGTGACCCATTTTTAAGACCGACATGTCCCATGTGTTCTGCATTCGTGCTTCAGAGGCAGGGACCATCGCGGCGGACAGGGTGGATGACAAGTCCGTCTCCAAGGACTCGTCGGAGGCATCGACAACGGCTCCTCGGCACTACTAGTACAAAGTAGGAGAAATAGCTTCTTGTTACTACTAGTAAGGCACTTGTTACTAATAGTAAGGCACTATCTAATAGTAAGGCACTATCTAATAGCTTCTTGTTACTGTAGCAAAAGGCTATGCTTTGCCGTACACTTCCAGCTGATATTTTTTTCGCACGCATTGCCACTGTCATCTTGGTGCCGTGGTCTCAAGTGAGTGGCAATTGCCCCAAATGCAGTGCCCGAAATGCGGATCCTAGGTATGATGATGTATAATGTCGATTTTTGATGATTTTTAATATATTTCAACCCCCATTGAAGAGGTTTTACAATTTTACAATCCACATGAGCGACCGCCAAGATGCGCAATGACTAGTTTATGAAAGAGCGGTCGTGAATTTCAGCAATTTAGCTAAAACCTGCAAAAGAAAGCGATCACCTTGCTGAATCATGTCCTCTACTTGACAGTGCCGATTGGCAGACGCTCACATGGGGTCTTTATGAATCAACATTCTACAGTGTCTACGTTATTCTCTTCCTGGGCTTTGCACCCGATCGGATTCCATTCCGTGCCACAATCGTTCAGGAAGGCGAGCTGTCTGCTTGACGGGAAGCCGAGCGTTTGCATGTAAGGACCATGGTCCCAATTGAGGGCTGAACCCTGCCTGGAGAGTGTGGAGGTTGTTGACCTACCGCCTATAACTTCCTGACACGATTGACCATTTCAGAGAGTCGTGACCTGGATTGACCATTTCTAAATCGATGAATCTCCAGCAGGTTTACTTGATCTTGTGGCATTATGCGGCTCACGGGGGAAGTATACAGCTAACCTGGGCTGCAGCTGCAAAATTAGTTGCAGCGATCAAAGTTGTTTTGATCACAAGCGTTGGCTTGGATTGGACTGGATAGCTGATCGAGAAAGCACTTTCGTCACAGGAGGCTCATGAGTTAGCAAGGCTGATCAAGAGTCCCACAATGTCCCTTAATTGTATGTAGATCATCGGACGAAAGGTTGAAATGCACAGAACACCCACGGATCCAAATTGTTATGCAGCTTCCGTCTGCCATTCCAAAAGCCTGCACCGCCTGCACCTGTATTCGCCAGTTCCAGCCGTGGCACGATCCAATTGAGGCACAAAAACTGGAACTCCTCTGATTCAACATTGCAAATCATTTTCCGTGCGCGGCAATGTTTTTGAATTTCTCAATTATGGAGTGCGCAATGCACCTCGGACACCTCAGACTGAGACGGGCCGACATCGCCTCTCTCGCGGCTGGGGCATTCTCATTGCGGTTGTCACGAACCAAGCTGGCTACATGGCCGAGAAGCCGAGCGGACTTGGCTCAACGTGATTGCTTGGCCCCACGCGGGCGACGGTGCGTTGTTTGTTCCAGCAAGCCAGGGGCAATTGACTTGGGCTGGATTGAAAGCCAGAGACTTGTTGCCCGGCCAACGACTCAGGGTTGTAGATTTGAAGTGAGACTGTTGACAAAACGTTAGGAGATCGGAAAATGATTATATATATATATATACACCAAACTCAAACGCTTTCTTTGAGAGTGCTATGAGGTGAAAAACGTCCATATCCACTTGGCGTTTTGAAGAATCCAGCCTGCTGATGTGTGCGCATGTGTTTGGTCACCAGGGCACTTGAGTCGACACTGCAAGGTGCTCTTGGCACTCGAACATCACGAGCCTTTTGTGGTGACATCAACGACAAAAGGGAAAGGAATGCTCTTTAACCCAAGCGTCATGTGTGGATATTGCTGAAGCTATTCATGGGGTTCTTTTCAATGATGTATTGGCGCAGGGGAAAGTTAACTGGTGTGAATATTCTGATCTTGATATGTCAGATGTCAACAACCAAATTGACACTGGTACTGGTACAGCCCATTTTTCGGAGGTTTTCGGTGTCATTCGGTGTGACTTCTGAATCGATTCGCTGCCCGATGCCTGACCGTGCGCTGACCGTGCCGTGTCTCCAAACGAGACAAGATGAAAGCTGAAAATGGCCGTGTGGGACCGTGGGACCATCCAAGACCACAGTAAGGCACCTGTTACTACTAGCGTGGCACTTGTTACTAGTAGCTTCTTGTTACTACTAGTAAGGCACCTGTTACTACTAGCGTGGCAGCCCCATTTGTTCACATTCCAACCGCGTGTGTTGGCAGTGCCGTAGGATTCCAGTACCGCCCTCTGGCTCCCAAGGTTGCAGCTGCCAATCGACGAGTTCCGAGACAGGTCAGTTGGCTGCGGGTCAACAATTTGTAGCCTCCATTTTTTTTTTTGACTGCAATTCATTTGGTTTGGAATTGTGCTTGTTAGACACATTCGCGAGGGACGGACAGTTCCATGGTACAACCCATGTGCTAAGTTCCTTCGGTTCTTCAGGAATCCCATTTGGACGGAAGTCTTGGGAGTGGGGCGACACTTGAGAGTTCAATGCCCCGACATTGCAAGATTGACTCCCCCCAAATAGGGGTACCACGCTGCTATCCGTGGTTAAGACATTAAACAACGCATGAATGTCGTTTGTCTCTCTGCCGTCATGGCAAGTAGACGATGAAACGAATAGAGACTTCAGCATACTTATACACTACCGCAAAACTAACTATGGAACCTGGACCCCCTTGGAAGGCCATTGTCCACTTCCATGTTAGTTGCAGGGACCGTAGCTGATGAGACCTGTCCCAGACCGACGTCCGACGCAGCTCCGCGTTCGAAGCTCCTTCGATGTTCCGAGCTCCGATCGGAGGATCCTGCGACACATCCGCGAGAATCGGGTCTGAGCCCTGACAAGCTGTGGAGATAGCGTTGAGGTGCATCAAACTGATTGGTTCAGTGGTACCAGTAGAAGATGTCCTACTAGGAACACCTGTGAACAGCTGTGTTTAGGGGCAGACACACTCTCACTCTCACACACACATTCAGAGCGGAGTTGTTGCATGAAGCTTTTTGTAACATGTCCAGTCCAGTCCAGTAATTAGGCCTGTTTTCAAGCTGATGTGCCGTTTCATTTCCAATTCAAACCCTACAGATTTGTGTTGAAAGGACGGCTGCTCCCCCGACATGCGGGAGCTTTCGCAATTGCTTGGACGTTCCAAACGGCGTCTTCGACGAGTTGCGCGGGCAAATTGAGGTGACACACATCCAGGGCGAGACTGGTTGTGGCAAATCGACTCGTCTGCCACAGTTCATCTTAGAGGACGCGTCGAATGGGTCGATGACGAATCACGGGATATCGCGGGATGTCATGATATATCACGGATTTCCCCGCGTGCGGCAACCAGATGCGGTTTATTATATGTCTATTTTTTGGTGTGGTGAGAGGCAAGTTTTGAGCCGCCATGTGTCACTGACTTAGCTTTAAGGAGCGTGTTTGGCTGACATTAGCCTTTTCATTGGTTTGCTCATGTCATCCACTGGACCTACGCAACCTGTAATCCATATTACGCACACAATCACAAGGAACACGTCAAAATGGACCATACCCCACAAAGTATCTCTGTCTTCTACAGTTCTGCACCTTTTTGATCCGTTTTGGTCACCACATGCCGTTCGGTTCCGGCCAGGATGCCCAGGAACGAGGTGAGGAGATCCGTATGGTGGTGACCCAGCCCAGGCGAGGTCGAAAGAAAGCGAGATGGCTTCCTGCGTGGGGTGAGCATGTGTTCGACCAAAATGCGAGGAAAATAACTATTTTCTAGTGTTTACCATGTTTTCTTTGTCAAGTGAGAACATTTTTTGTGATCGACCACACTAGGGATTGTAGTATGGCGTTCTTCGTGTAGCTGTAGCTGTGGCTGTTCCGAACCTCAAGAGATTTCATCAGCTTTTTGCTGGATGTTTTTCCCCACCTGCCAGGTGAGGGTTGTTAGATTGTATCACAGCTGTTCTTCCTCCGCCTCCGCCTCCGCCTCCGCCTCCGCCGCCTCCTCGTCCTCCTCCTTCCTCCTTCCTCCTTGCTTCCTTCCTCGCCAATCTGCTTCGCCAATCTTGTCTGGCCAGCACCGGATCGCAGTGTGCACCCCTGGACCTCAACCGCAAGGATCCCCTTGCAGTGTGCATGCCTGGACCTCAACCGCAAGGATCCGATCGCAGTGTGCATCCCTGGACCTCAACCGCAAGGATCCGATCGCAGTGTGCACGCCTGGACCTCAACCGCAAGGATCCGATCGCAGTGTGCACCGCTGGACCTCAACCGCAAGGATCCAATCACGCAACCACAAGCACACAACCACAAACACACAACTACAAGCACAACCACAAGCACAACCACAAACACACAACCACAACCACAACCACAAACACACAACAACAAACACAACCACGAACACAACAACAAACACACAACCATAAACACAACCACGAACACACAACCACAAACACAACCACGAACACACAACCACAAACACAACCACAAGCACACAACCACAAGCACGCAACCACAAACACAACCACAAACACACAACCGCAAACACACAACCACAAACATACAACTACAAACACACAACCATAAACACAACCACAAACATGACAACAAACACAACCACAACCACAACCACAAACACAACCACGAACACAACAACAAACACACAACCACATACACAACCACAAACACACAACCACAAACACAACCACAAACAGACAACCACAAACACAACCACAAACACAACCACAAACACACAATCACAAACACACAACCACAAACACACA